CATACATACATACATACATACATACATACATACATACATACATACATACATACATATACATACACACACACACACACACACATATACATCACAGGAAGAAACACAAGAATCTTATTTCTCCTGGATTGGTAGATTTAATCCATTATAGAGGAGCTTATTTTTCCAAAGATAAATTTTACTGGATAAGACTAGGGGTTGAGACATGCACAGGGAAGTTCATTTTTTCACAAGGCCCCATTGCTTGTGAAACACCTCTTCATATTGCTCTTTAGTGAAGCAAAGTGACCCTACATGCACTACCATGAGCTGTTTCCTAAGCAGTGAGGCTTAGAAAATGTTGTGATTGATTTAATGAGGAGGGCTTCCAAACAGCTTTTCTGTGCTGCAAAGTGCCTCATCTAAAGGATTATCACAACCACATTAATTGTATGAGCCTTCTTTCATCTGGTAGCTTCTAGACGTGTTGGAGTATGATTCCTATTATTCTGACCAGTATCATGCCGATGGTGAATTCAGGGAGTTGTAACCAATACATCAGGAAGGTATTTGGAGTTGTAGTGAATATGGAGTATTGGATTGAAAAATATTACACTGACCATCAATAATCAAGGATTATTGTACACTAGAGTTCTTTTATCTCTGTTTGGAGATGTTGGACAGTATTTAATGTTCTATTTTTATTTTCTTCTTTTCATATATATATGTATGCCAAGACAATCTCAATCTTACGGGAAAATATATATAAACTGCTTGTTTAAGAGCTTGTTTAATTAGCTCAAGCAAAATATAATATAGCGAGAGAGAGAAAAGGGGGCTTACATGTGAAAAACGTAAAAGCCTGAAAGATGCAGTAAAGGCAGTCCTAGAGTTATAACCATTTGTTTAATGACCATGTGGTCGTAAGTTGAGGACTACCTATAAACTTAATAGATTTTTGCATTGATGGTGACGGTACAACCTGCTTAGAGGGAGCAATTGTGTATGTGAAGTGAGGGAACATATGTTCTGAAAAATGTATAGCACTGATCTCTTTATTTGGTTTTCTGAGCTGAAGATCTAGCTTCAACTTTACAAGATAAGAAATACAAGCCTTCACACAACAGCTCATTGTTTCAAGACTGGAAGTGTAAAGAGCTATATAAATATCCATTGGGAGAAGATAAATCCAAGAATTAGATTGTAATTAAAGTATCAGTTTTCTCCAGTGAACCAGTATGACGGGAAACAACTTTGAGAAATTCCCAGAGGTTTAAGCCAGTGGTATTATGAATCCCCATATGAATTAACACTGTGAACTTGTTGGTCCGGTGGAAAGCCTTGTGTGTGCTCCCATTCTTCATATGTGCAATATAATGGAATTAGGGTATTGTTGCAAATTATTAAATAGAGGTGTTTACCTTCTTCAACTTGATAGTAATTAATCCAAGATTTTTTTTAAAGTAATCACTTACGTTTCTTTAAGGGGTTGGATTTCTTTTTACTTTATAGTTTTTAAGAAGGGGAAAATATTTAAAACATCTTAAAACGACCATGCCAACCACTAAAAAATACTGCAGCAAAGTTTAACAAAATCTCTTTGTGAAAGGCAATCTCAATAAACTTTTGAAAAGGGTTAGAGTCTAACTTACTGAGAGGACACTCCTAATGAGAACACCCTGATCTCTATGGCAACTTGTTTATGAAAATAATATGAGAACTGGAAATATGTCTTTTCATTTTTTATTCAAAATCTAAAGTATAGATGAACAGACCAGACCAGATATTCCTTCCAAGTATGTAAAGCCAATTGGGTGATGTTGGGCCAGTCACTCAGCCTAATCTGCTTAATATAGTTGTTGTGGAGATAAAAATAGGAGGCAAGAACAATGTGTTACAACAGCCCCCAACCTTTTGGGCACCAGAGACCAGTTCCATGGATAGAGATTTTTCCATGGACCAGAGGGACATGGTTTTGTGTGGCTTTGCTTGTTTGTACACCGATTTCTGGCATGCTGCTGCCCAATGCTGGCCACGGACCAGGGGATAGGGACACCTGCTGTATTAGGCCTATTAGCCACCTTCATCTTAGGTGTAATTCTAACTGAAGCATGACTTGAATACCACTGGCATTGACATTAGATATTATCAGTCAATTGCAAAAGGCAGATTTACTTGGAACAGCTTACGTCCTGTGACAATAACAGTATTGAACAAAAGTATCTGCCTATGCCAGGTACCTGGTAAGTCTCGATAGGTAAATGAAAATGCCAAATCTAATACAAACATCTGATTGACTGCATGTTGAACTATAATAATAATATAATACATCAGAGGCTTTCAAGAGTGGAATACAATATAAGCACTATTAAATAATAATTAAAACAGTGAACTCTAGACATATGGATGAAGTGGCCTAAACAGGATTTTTTATCCTTGTACTGTATATTCATTTGATCCTCACTCATTCCCAAAAGGAGTAAATAAGAAAGTAATGCTTTGTTGACAGAAATTCACCAATAAGAAAGGTGTCCTAACAGAAACAAGCTCACCTCACGATATATTTCGGTTCCTACACTTTTAAGCTTTGCATTAGCCGAAGGTCGCATTGCATCCATGGCAACTCCAGTGAGCCCTGCTTTTTTCTTTTTTTCTAGGACCACATACAATTGGTACACAAGTTTGATAGCAGCTCCATGCTGCTCTGTCATGATGTTTCGGGCTACATTTTGGTCAAACTGTACACCCAGAAGTTGAAGGGTGGGCTCCATGCGAGAAAAGTTGTTAAGTTTTGCATTGGCAAGCCTGTTGAGACAATATAAAAATTATAAATATGTACAATATTAAAACTTTCTTGTGAGTTCATCTGCAAGCCTAATATACTTCAGTAAGCCTCATGTGTGATATGGCAGTAATCGAACTAAGCAAAGTCAGAACTCATAAACATGCCTCATTTTCAGCTTTAATCCCACTAAAATCTATGGTCATTAATTTAATTTTAATTGCTTATATAATCAATTGCTTATACAATCCATTGGAATTTAATGGACTTAAGTGGCAGCTTCTAGCCAAACTTACTTAAAAAACTAGGTAGGATTAGACTGTGTCACTAAGCTTCGAGCCCTGTCACACTATCCAAAATTGTCAATATAGTGTGATGCCTTGCATCACTCACCAAAAGTAGCTTGTAAACTCAGTCTTTCCAATGCAAAGGCAAAGGCCTAGAGAAAGTTCAAGAAATGTTTTCTTTCACAGCAGAAGCAACTATATGGGGGGAAATGCACATTTCTGCATTGCTGGTTCCTTACAGATCATAGCCATCTCTGTGATAATTCTGGGGAATAACTTTTAACAACTATTGGGCATTCTGACTATGAGTACTGATTATTGTAGTTCAGAAAAGCTGGGAAGAAGATTATCAAGGATCACAATTCTTTTGTGTTTCAGTGGGAAACTGGCTGGGCAATGGCAAACATAGGAATGAAGGAAAGATATATAAAAGTGAGAAGGGAATTGCACAAATTCCCACCCTGTTCTCCAATGCAAGGAAGTGTTAATTGAACCTAGTTTAGTTTAGTTATGATATAGTATAGAGTAAATCGGAACATTGTGAAAAGAGTATTAATACTACCTACCTGCTTTGTGAAAACTGATCAAAATCTTCCTGAAGTTCATACTTGTTTAGAAGTTCTCCAATGAGATAACCGGAAGAAAATTCTCTGGCGAAAGATTCTGTATCTGATTTAATTTTCAAAGGAAAAAGAAAGTATTTTTGTTTATAAGCTATGACTCTTTTCATTTGATGCATAATCATCCATTATTATCATGATGTACATTATAACAACCCAACTTATATTTAATGGGCTTGATTGATTTTTTTAAAAATTTCTGTCGCTGCCCATAATTCCCAGGCATATGGGCAACATCAAACAAACAAACAGTTCATCAATAAACAGTGGTTCGCTTGTCACCATGTTAACATGGAAGCAGTCTTCTTTGAATCTTTCAATAGATTTATGGAAATAGCTAAGTGAAGAAGTTAATTGTGCACTCTCTAGCATGAGATAAATCACATAATTTACTCATCAACAGACTTTCTCAACATCTAAAATTCTAAATGAAGAGTTTTAATAATTTAGCAAACTATGAACAGTAGGATCCCAGATATTTTCAACAATGACAGAATTTTTAATGTGCTACTTTCATTGGAAAAGTTGAGATACATTAAGAGATATATCAGCCTTGAAATAGCCCATGCTAAAATGTACAGCATAGTCAAACATCAGACCAGAAAATGTTTTATGATATTTTGTATTAAAATTTTAAATAAGTATTAATTTTTCAAATAATATTAAGATAATACAAACAAATAATTAAAAAAATGATATATTATAAAGTAAAAATGTGTAGTGTTTTGAATGTGGGGATGTTAGCCTTCCCCTGTCAGACAGGAAACATGACCAAAGGAGTTACTAATTCTACTTTATTGTAAAGCTGTAGTATCAGAATCTTGTAAATCTGAAAACTACTTTGTGGTTTGGCTACTTTGGTCACAGTTTGATCAGCAAAAGTTATAGCTGGATCTCTAAGCGCCTATGGATAGAATAGCGGGTAGCATTCAAAATAATAAATGATGCTAGGAAGAATCACCAAGTAAACAATTTCCATCTCACTCCCTTATCCACATGACTTGGGACTAATTTTTTTAAATCTATTTATTTATTAAATTTCTACATCACACCTAAATGACTATGGGCAGTTTACTAACAACAAATGTAATCTGTTGTCCCGGGGCCAGACTTAACTTCTAATCCTAATTTTTCAGCCTAGGAGCAAAATCTGATTTTAAATAACCACAAATACTAAAAATCAGTGGTACATCTTCTTGAAGGTCTGAACAAAGAAATAAAAGCAAAATTGTAACATAAGCCTGAAGTGAGCCTAACACCAGTAACAAAACATAAAATCCCAAAACAAAACATAAAATCACTGCCCTATGAACTAAATGAGTAGAACATTGGATCTTCTGCTTCTCCTCAGGAGGATTTTATCTCCAGTGTGGGTGAAACTCTGATCTGGAGGGAAAGCACTTGTAGCTAAAACATTAAGTACTATGGAATAAACAGATACCTACAAGGACTGCTTGCCCTCTGGAGTCCCTTTTAATTGAGGGAACCTAGCCACAAGTGCATCCCTTGAATCTGCAAAAGCATCCTGAGTGATGAAAATCCTTCCCTTGTTTTCCTTATGGGAATTTCAGATATGTAAATGGATTTGCTCAGTAGGAACATCTTCCAAAAGGATTTTCATGGGGGGAAAAAACTCAGTCAGAAGTGTGAAAATCCTGGTTTCTCAGCAATTCTTCTGTGGTATCCAGATAGTTCCTCATCCCTCAAAGGGCAATTTGCAGCATTTTATGTTGCTACGACTATCACTAAGTGTTGTATCTTATGATTCTTGATGAATGCATTCTATTTTATTTTTCTTTATGTACGCTGAGAGTATATACACCAAAGACAAATTCCTTGTGTGTCCAATCACATTTGGCCAATAAAAGAATTCTATTCTATTCTATTCTATTCTATTCTATTCTATTCTATTCTATT